CAACCATTCACGTACAGCGCCGTAGATTATTTTGGTCCGTACGTGGCTGCTGAAAGAAGGCCGTAGAGAAGTAAAGAGATATGGAGTGCTTTTTACGTGTATGGCATCACGCGCGGTACATCTCGAAATTGCGCATTCCATGGACACAAGTTCGTTTATAAACGCTTATCGTCGTTTCGTCGGTAGACGTGGGCCTGTCAGACAGCTAAGATCGGACCGTGGAACAAATTTTGTTGGGTGTCAAACCGAACTGAAGAAAGCTCTTCTCGAGATGGATGAGAAAAAAATTCGTGAAAGTTATTACAAGACCAGTGCGATTGGATCAACGCAGAAATGAACGTTCCCTACGCAAGCCACATGGGTGGTGTCTGGGAGCGCCAAATCCGAACCGTCCGAAGTGCATTGTCCGCTCTCCTCGACCACCATGGTACCCAGCTGGATGACGAGTTGCTTTAAACCCTCATGGTCGAAGCGGAAGCCATAGTAAACAGTCGCCTCCTCACAGCTGATAATACATTTCCACTTGAACCGTTGACTCCAAACCACCTTTTGACCTCTTCAACCAACGTCGTTCTACCTCCGCCCGGCGTTTTCCAAAGGGCCGACCTATACTCGAGAAAACGGTGGCGTCGTGTCCAACACCTAGCAAATGAGTTTTGGGATCGTTGGAGGAAGGAGTTCCTGCAATCGCTACAAACACGACAAAAGTGGCTACGACAAAAAGAAATTTGAAGGTTGGTGATGTTGTAATCCTGCAAAACGATGAGTTACCGCGAAATCGATGGCAACTTGCTCGGGTACAAGATGTTTATCCAGATAAAGATGGGCTTGTTCGAAAGGTCAAGATCGAAGTAGGTGATCGTGCTCGAGATAATAATGGGAAACGTGTCCATGCTGAAACCCTATTAGAGAGACCTGTTCACAAGCTAGTCCTGTTGGTATCTGCAGAAGAAGAAGACCGGGGATTCCCCAACGAGGAGCCATGAGGAACCGTAAAGATAAGTGAACTGTTAGCGTGTTTACCACACAGTACTTGATTAGTAAATAGTTGTTGTTATGTTTAAATTGCTCCTATGGACAATTTAGGTGAGCCATGTAACGTAATCTTCATAATTTATCTTAATTATGCCGTTTGGTGCGAAACACCTACATAATTATCGCCACGTTGTTTACTGTACGTATTGAAAAACTGTATCTCGAATCTCGATCGTTTATGTCGTAGTAGAGCGGAGAAAGAGGCACGTTGAACGTTTAGGGTCATAGTTTACTTGTTTTTAGTCTAAGTGTGTGTCTTTATATAATGTAATTTAGTTTATTGTGTCTTATTTCTTGTAGTTTTTACGTGCTGATTGATCACTAAAGTTTATATTATTTGTATTGTATCGTGTGTGTCTCGAATATCGGCTCAGTAAAACCCCCGTTTATAAACCAATCCAAGCAACCGTTACACTCTTTCTTCCTCAGTTCTCGTTACTCGATCTTTTAGTATAGCATTTTTATGCTGTTCGTTTGTTAATTCAATTTGTAGCTTGCTTATTTCTTCGTTCGTACATTTCGTCTTTGTGCTTTCGCTCGACATTTGGCTTTGTAGGATGACTATGTCCAGTTTTATCCCTTCAATTTCGGCTGCCATTGATTTACATCTACAAGGACAGTTGTCGGTAGATACGTTTGGGTTTCGCTAGTAGGTGATAAACTAGTAAATGGTTGCTGTTCACTGTCCACAGTAACAGCGAGGATGCTGTCGGCTTCGTCTGGAAACCCGCCATTACCGGATGTGTTTCCTTCTTGCTCGACGAAAGATTGCGGCTTTGCTTTGGCACGGTAGATCTATCAGTTTATTCTTAATTTAAGCCGTCTGCCTCCGTACCTTGAAATAACAAGGTGCATTGCTTCTTAAAATATCAGTTTAGTATAAGTTGGCCATTTTCTTCCTTGAATCTTTTAGTACCGCCACCGGGCGACGACCATTTGCCTTTAATCCCAAGAATATCTTCGACAATTTTTTTTAGTATCGCAAAATCATTTCTCCATTTGAGCTTCTTTCCATCATATTCAAGATTGGAAAGGCCTTGAGCTTTTATTTGGTCTAAACACTTCACAACCTTCGTCAAAAAATCAGACATTTTGTAGAGCTTTGTAAGACACGTCCGCACAGTTAGACGGTTTTGCGCTTGTACTGATTTCGGCAGCGATTAACCTGCTTTTACGGTTACAGAGCAGGTTTTTATGAAATTGTCAAAAGTAAATCCTATCGATCAAGGCCAATGGTGCGGATGGGATACCCAGCTGGGTTCTAAAGGAAAATTCTGATCTACTGGCCGATCCTGTAAGAAGAGATTTTGAATCCTTCGTATAGAAAGAGCTATCTTCCGCAGTCGTGAATATATAGAAGCGGATATTGTCCCTAGCTCTTCCAAACCAGAAACCTGTAAAAGACGTGAATAAGCACCTACGCTCCATTTCATCAGTTAACATGCATCAGTTGTATCAAAGGTGGCCGAGGATTTCATTGTTGAAAGTTTTGTTAGACCTGCTGTCGTTAGAAAGATTGACAGAAATCAATTTGGAACGATTCCCAAATCATCAACAAGTCATGCACTAATAAGCATGATATAAATAAGTGGAAAAACAAACGGACGGAAGCGGTTCTATGGTCCGGGTCGTTCTTTTTTATTTCAACAAAAACCTTTGACTTAATTGATCATGGTATTTTGGTAGGAAAGCTTACTATACCTTCGAAATACCAAAGCCAATCATTGGCTGATCGTCAATTTTCTCAAAGACCGTAAGCAGCGCGTCAAGTTAAGCCAATACTCATTATTTAATAGAAGACGAGAAAATACATGCATGCAGAAACCCTCGCCTTACTGACAAAACGTTATGTTTTCTGAACATGAAGAATTGAAAGTAGTTGTCATGGTAACACGATAATTTTAAGAATAGTTTTAAAATTGAAAAATCCCCCAAAATATCACCTTTTATAACAAAATTATCAATTTCCCAAACATTTATATGCTTGGTATGTTATTATACGATAAGCTTCAATTTAATGTAAAATTCAACCACAAACGCTTCGCAAAACGTTTTAAAATGTTCTTAAAACTAAACGGCCTTTTATCGAATTATCGGTAAACATTGAGTTTGAAATAAACTGATTTCAAATTCTCGCATGAAAATAACTTTGCTTTCCTCCTCTTTATTTAAATACTTTAATATACAAAAGAAAGGGTAATTAATAAAACTAAACTGAAATTATATGCTGTCTTTTTTCACTTATATATGCAATTATGATAGTACATCAGTTCGATATTCACAGTATCGCCCACCACTATCAGTTATATACATCAATATTTACATCAATATTTAAAACAAACTTACCTTAATTAACATCGGCGACTTTGCTCTATTCTTTTAGACGTTTTTAGACGTTTTTTGGCTCCCAGAAAGTTTTGAAATTTACAAAATCTTGCAAAAATACAACTTGAAAGAAATGTTTGTTATTTCGCTGTCGTCAATGCAGTCGTTATAATGCAAATTTCAAATTTTCCCAATCAATGTTCACTATTCACTACAGTCCACTACATATTTTGAGATCAGTGAGGATGACCACCCATGTACGGTGAGCCGTGCGCCCACGATATTTGATGAACTTTAGACTTCGCTAGTGCGTTCCTTTCCCCGGGTGTAATTGGCCGGGCGGAATTAGTACCCTCGCACGGCGCTTCTTGCCGTCGGCTCGGGGACAAATTTTAACTACTAACTAGAAATACATGCATGCAACAACCCCTCGCCTATATTTTCCAAACATTGTTTCAACATGAAGTATTCGTAACTACGCCAACACTGAACGCAGGCTCGCGTTGCCACGTCATGTTAGTCATAACAACACGATAATTGTTTTTTAATTTTTTGTACAAACTGGGAAAAAATAGATGAAATTTGAATACTTTTAAATACATAACTATCAATTTCTAAAATATATAAAGTAGGTATAATATTTTCGTTTCTATGGGCTTTATTTTAATGTAAAATTCAAAACGAAACTACGTAAAACGTTTTTAAATGTGAATTGAAACTCGAGCTTCAACTTATTACTCGAACTTTGAAATGAAACAAATTTAATTCGTACACGACGCTAATGAAAATAATTTGCTTTCCTTTTTATCATGATTAATTTAACTAAGAAACTTTCGCAAACAATGCATAGGAAAGACTTGAACATCAAGAACAAAGTCTATATTATTAAGTACAAAGTCATACATAAACAATTGAAACAAACTTGCCCTATACTTTAGGATTTATCATACAATATATCAATTCTTATCAGTTAACGTTTAAAAATTGCAAAAAAGTTGTGTAATTTGTTATGTCAGGAAACGATTTTCCAAGCTTTCTTACATGTATTTTTTTATATTTTTTGCCTTCTTCACTCCTGGCAAACAGCCATATTTTGAGATCAGTGATGACCACCCATATAACACCGTTGGTGAGCGCCCACGATCATTGATGAACTTTAGACTTCGCTAATGCTTTCATTTCCCCGGGTGTAAATAGCCGGGGGAATTAGTACCCTCGCACGGCGCTTCGCGCCGTCGGCTCGGGGATTAAACTATTTAATGACATTGCAAATGATGAAAGTCACAAGCTTTATCAATTACTACCAAGTAAGAACTTTTCAAATTGTAATATGAGGAAAGAGAACATTTTTAACGTTTCTATTAGTAGGACGAATAGATTTAAAAATAGTTTTATACAACATAATTCTACAATGCATTTTAGGTAATTTATAAGTAAATATTTATTGTAAAGTTATAAGCGTACGTAATTCAACCCGCGGGTTGTAATGTTTTTAATTAACTATCTATCTATCTTATATACTTGTTACTAAAATTATTATATATATATATATATATATATATATATATATATATATATATATATATATATATATATATATATATATATATATATATATATATAAAATTATTATATATATATATATAGTCCTTTTAGGTGTAAATTAAAACTTACTAAAGTATCACTTAAAAAGTTTAATATTAGCTGTCATCACTGCCACTGGTCAAACACGAACATTTCATGGCGAATACATGTTAATTCGGGTTAACCTAAATAATAAAATCAAATAAAGTTTTCGTTTTGTTATGAATTTAATGAAAATGATTATTTCGTTTTAATTCTAGGTCCGTAATTTTTACACTAAATTATTTTTATTATTTCATTATTGACTCAACCTATAGATGGTAACTGCATACATGCGAGTTTTCAAACCAAACAGAGAAAATTGCGTTTCAGCTTGCAGTTCGGGCAGTTTAATAGTGCAAAGTTTACACGAATATCCAACTGAATGAAAACCGGAATACGGTTAGTTTCTCCAGCTCCGTATGCCCTCTGCAGTTTAGGGAGGCAAGCAAATTTACTGTAGGGGTCCAGTTGCAAACTGGAGTTGGGGCGCATAGTTAGTTTTTAGGAGAGGAAGTGCAGAACAAAAATTGTATAATGAAATATACTAACCTGACACCTTATGTAGACATTAGCTTCTATCCATACTTGCATCGGACTCTGCCGCACGGGTCATCACGGGAAAGAACTTCTTCAAGGCAGGGCGTTTTGTCAATTCATGGTTCCTTCTAAAGAATTGATAAAGAACGAGTGGGAGTTTTGGAAATAACTTTAAAAAGTACTCTTGAAGAGAAGTAGCCTGTCCTTTTTTCTTCAATTGATCCAGTTTGCCATCCGGATGCTGAAGAACGTTTCGTATCAATCGAAGACAATGGGTATATTGGCTATTAACATAGGTTTTCGAGGGCCTTCCTCCTCTACATAGTGTGTCGAGGTCACTAGGATCAATCACTGATTTCCAATTGTTCGGTAACAACGGATATCGAAGTTGGGATTGACAATGGTTGTCTAGCGCTTTAGAAACAGCACAGTTGTCCTCTATTATTTTAGGGTCATTGCCAACAGCTTGCAAAAACTGTATTTGCTCTTCGAGAGAGAGAAAGTATGGATGTTTCAAGGCTTGCACTACACGTGGTCGTTTATCTGGATCCTTTGCCAACATCTGTGAAAGAAGATCTTTCACCACTGGGTCACTGAGTTCTATTAAACAGATTGGATTGTCCAAATACATTTTCTCCAGTCGGTGTATTGACGGGCCAAATGGATGCTTTCCTTTAGTCAAAATAAAAAATCCTAACATGCCAGCCACTTGGATATCCGATTCCTCTTTCCACCTGAGTTGTATTGGTGCATCTGAAGGATCCCGCAGCTCATTGGAGTACAAATCATCCCAGTCAATACATTCACATGCGATCCAGCCACTTGTTCCACATTGGTTAATGGTTTTATGTGTATTTGCATCTGCAAAGAAGTAAAAATTGCAATTCCCCATCTTCTATTTCACATTATCTTACAGTATGCCTAAATATGCCGGCTGACGATTATACTTTCCAAAGAGAGAGTCTTGTCCATTAATTAATTAATAAAGTTGTGGACACTGGACACTATGGAGAAGGGGGAGCAAGGGGGTGACTGTTCCCACTATAATTTTTAAGTCTCTGATGTAGTAACAAGTTATAACAAGGTTTTTCAAAGGTAAGCGAATTTGAGAAGAACCTACTTTTAGCCGACCATCAATCTTGTCACGTGTCCACCATCTTCATGCACCCATTAAAGACCATGTAAAGTCCGTAATATAAACAAAGTTAACGCTTTGTTTACATTTTGAACTCAGTGCTACAGTTGTAACATATGATTAGAGTAGATATATATTATACTGAATTTTTAACACTCTTCTGGTTCGCTATGCTTGAAAATGAATACAGACTAGAGATTCAATTCAAGAAAGTTCAAAAGATACGAAATATTAATAACATTCCAACGGTCGGTTCCCGACCATTGGAATGTAAGCCTGCGCAGCACGTATGCGCAGAACGGACTTTACATGGTCTTTAACATTCTATGATAATAGACAGCGTAAAATAATTATAGACCTAATTTTTTCCTAATTTTTTACCTAGTTTTTTCTTCCCTCTGATATTGATACTCTACTTATATTTTGTAATAAAATAAAAATACCATGCAAAAGTATTATTATTAAATGCAAAAATATTAAATACCATTAAAACAGTTGAAAACACAGTTGTTAACCCATTGGTGTGCAAGACGCTTTCCTTGCCTAGTAAAATTGTCTCTTGCGTTGGACAGAGTATTTAAATGCTTAATGGATTAAACGGCCCATGAACTGCTTCCTAATAATTTAGTATAACTCTACTTTCCGCTTCATCGTTTTTCATTTGCCTGGAGTTTAGTATCATCCCCACGGTGGGAAAACGCGTACGGGCAGAAATTCATTTAATTTATAAAATATCAAACCCCGTGGGCCGTGGCCAAACCATTGACTGGTGCATTATGGTACCTGGTCAGTCAGGGCCTTTGCTAGGACTTTGCCTTTGGGGGAGGAGGGGGGGGGGAGGGGGTGTAAGGTTAGATTAACCTAAAATTTTCCAGCTTAACGTTTTCACCTGATTTTGCGAGGCGCCACCATGGTTAGTGCCGAGCAAAATGTTTTGAAAAATTGAAGTCCCTAGACCGTCAGAAATGGCATTTTTCAGGTCTTTCCTACCCAATATTTCGGCAATATTTTAGTATTGTCTAACAATGAAGATAAGTATTATTACTTACAGTTTTAAAATGTGACTACGAAAATTGAGAAATTAAAATTTTTGAAATTTGAAGTCTCCAGATCGTCAGAAAGGGTATTTAGCCATGTCCCCCCCTGCCACGACGCCTCTCAACGTCTTTAGTTGGTCGACGGTTAACTCTAATTCTGATTCAGAGCATAGAGTTCGCTTTTTTATGCCCTGAGAATTACCTGAATTTACCTGAAAATCTACTGGAAATCTACCTGAAAGAGCTCGTGAGCAATTATCAGCGGGGTGTTGCTCCCCCCACACCCACACCCCGGTCGCTACGACCCTGTTGCCAGTGTCTATACTGTTTTAAAAGCCTTAATTTTACATTTCTCTTATAATCTAATGGCAAACCTAACTCTAACACGATGCTTTTTACTCCCAAAGTAGAGTAAACACAACGGTGGCATTATTGTGTTTGCCTAGCCTACAGCCTGCCGCACACGAGAGAAACTTGCTGAGCTAACAGCCTCGCGTAGCGGCTACCTCAGCTATACATTTTCACCGCACACGCTAGGAAAACTACAAAATCGTTTGCATTTTCCTCCTTTTTATTCAATGTCACATGAAGAAACTATGGTTTCTCATTGGCGGATTGATTCAAGCAGCTCAACACTAAGCTCGATCGCAACATCCGCAGACTTTGAGCAGGCCCTGTGCCTTGCCGAAAATCCGGCCTTTCACCTGATTGGTCTGTTACACCAAAAAATTATTTTGATAGGTTATTTAATGCTAATTAGATTACACTATTGTTCTTGGTATTTTTTAATTAATCGTAGTTTTAATTAACACTTTTGACTTTGTTTGGCTTCTAGTAAAACGCGATACTGAAGCCGGAACCTGAAACTGCCCCACACATATAATTTATGCAAATTGGTTATAATATTTTTTAGCGGGGATTTTCCAAAGATATATACGAGAAATATATCAGAAACGAAAAATTTAAAAAGGGTTCGACCATTTGCTTTGACAGTGTACTGTAAACACGTAGGTAATATCTCCGAAAAAATCCCTCTCTCGAGGGATAGCTAATCATAATGCAGGAAGCGCGAAATTTACACCAAAGCGAACTAGAAGATATTGCCCTCTTCTCGGGCTTCCGTGACATTCAATTTTAACTTTTTAAATTTAAAACCAAAAGATTATGATGAGCACATTAAAATCTAAAACTTTGCCGTGGGAATTTTTAAATTTCGACCTACAACGGAAAATATCCATGTTTGAAATTTTTCCCTATGTCGCGTATATACAAATTTGAGTAATCTAATTTGACTGCAATAAAACTAAAAATTGCTTGTTTCATTTCAAAACCTAGACGATAACTCGTTTATAGCGCCTGATTTAAAAAAAATATGTGGTCGCACGTTCGCGACCATATATAGTCTAGGGCCTGTATATGAGTTTGTATGCATTTCATTTAGGACAGGTAATCTCAACTGTTTTAGGGCAAAATGTCCATGGCGGTCAACATGGCATATGTGCCAAAACCTGAATCCGGGACGAAAGTCCTGAAAATGACCCCGCCCTCTGCCCTGAAACGGCAGTGTCGACATAGCTCTAACTTCCGAAAAGGAAAAGCGATAGCCATTGTGAAGTGCTTATAGTGTTTAGAAGGGTTGCTTTTAGGGGTGGTGATTGGAAGGGAAATTTGTCTAAGTATAATATTTTACAAGAAAATGACCATGCACCACCCCAGGTAAATTGCTAATTATGCATAAAATAACTGATATGCCTGGCAGAAATTAAATTTTCTTATTTCCTAAAAAATATTATCATGGGATGAAAAACAATGCTTAATTTAACATAATTATTGTGGATTTCATAAGGATTGTCATTGTTTTCTTTAAGGTTACTTCACATGATGAACGTGCGTTTTAGTCTATTGAACATGGCGCAACGAATTTTAGGTGTATCTTTACCAAATGTTTAGTGAAGAAAGCCAATAAAGTGCTGATTTCGAAAATCTTCATTTGATGGGTGTTCTGTTTAAACATGTCCAGTATTGGCTGACTAAAGAAATACATAAGTATCCCATAAAAAAATCAAAATATATTTATAGTTTACCTCAACGTTTGTCTACATATATCGATTTGAATCTTCATAGGTACGGTAAAAAAAGCGTGTGCGGAAAATTTCTCTTCTTCAACGGTTTTTCTGATATGACGTTTTCTTTGACAACTTCGTGAATTATCAGTGACAAATCCAAGAATTAGGGCATATCAGAAAAACCACTAAAGAAGAGAAATTTTCCGCACACGTTTTTTTACCATGCCTATGAAGATTTGAATTGCGATATCTAGACAACCGTTGAGGTAAACTATAAACATATTTTGATTTTTTTATGAAGGTACCTACATATTTACTCAGTCAGCCAATACTGAAAATGTTTAAACAGAACACCCATCAAATGAAAATTTTCGAAATCAGCATTTACCTGGCTTTCTTCACTGAAAATTTGGTAAAGTTACACCTAAAATTCGTTGCGCAATGTCCAATACACTAAAACGCACGTTCATCGTGTAACCTTAAATATAATACATTTTATTTCACTTAGCCCCCATGAAAACACGATTTCAGCCATATTTTGCGTCTTGCTTGTTTTTTATCGCCGAATCTCGCAAATATCATCCAGTTGTTGACTTTTACATAATGATAAATGGCTAAAGAAGATTTTAACCCAGTTTCATCAAGTTTTGAAACAGTGCAGTGTATTTTATCTCACGATATTGTGTCCTTCGATATTTCGTGAAATATGGCGCCATTGCAATGGTTCACCGCTTCTTTGACCGATAAATACCACTTCTTCGTCTTCATAAGTATTTAGATTACATTATCCAAGAGTACTTCATTGTAGAATAGTCCCAATTCAAAAATTGAAAACATTAGGTGCACTTGAAAGGAAAAGGCCTCCCATAACAGTTGTCTTGTCAGAATTCAAAAGAAGTAATTTAAAAGTCACGCGCAAGTTCGCAAAAACTCCTCGTGGGCTACATGACAGGGGGGGCAAATATTTTTACGAAACGTTTGTTCGCCACCACAGCAACTTAACCTAACTAAATATATTATATTTTTTGTATTTTTATGATTGATGATAAAAATACGCAAATATTTGTTGTTTTTATCATAAATTCCCAAAATACAATAAATATAATGTACTTAGTTAGGTTGCTGTGGTGGCAAACAAACGTTTCATGAAAATATTCACCCCCCCCCCCTCGCCTGTCATGTAGCCCACGAGGAATTTTCGCGAACTTGCGCGTGACTTTTAAATTACTTCTTTTGAATTTTGACAAGACAACTGTTATGGGAGGCCTTTTTCTTTCAAGTGCACCTAATGTTTTCAATTTTTGGATGGGGACTATTCTACAATGAAGTACCGCTTGGATAATGTAATCTAAATACTTATGAAGACGAAGAAGTGGTATTTATCGGACAAAGAAGCGGCGAGCCATTGCCGAATGGCGCCATATATTTCACGAAATATCGAAAGACACAATATCGATCGAAGATAAAATACACTGCACTGTTTCAAAACTTGATGAAACTTGGTTGAAATATTCTTTAGCCATTTATCATTATGTAAAAGTACAACAACTGGGGATGATATTTGCGAGATTCGGCGATAAAAGCAAACAAGACAGGAGGGTAAGTGAAATAAAATGTATTATTTAAAGAAAACAATGACAATCCTTATGAAATCCACAATAATTATGTTAAATCAAGCATTGTTTTTCATCCCATAATATTTTTTAGGAAATAAGAAAATTTAATTCCTGCCAGGCATATTAGTTATTTTATGCATAATTAGCAATTTACCTGGGGTGGTGCATGGTCATTTTCTTGTAAAATATTATACTTAGACAAATTTTTCTTTCCAATCACCACCCCTAAAAGCAACCCTTCTAAACACTATAAGCACTTCACAATGGCTATCGCTTTTCCTTTTCGGAAGTTAGAGCTATGTCGACACTGCCGTTTCAGGGCGGGGTCATTTTCAGGACTTTCCGCCCGGATTCAGGTTTTGGCACATATGCCATGTTGACCGCCATGGTAATTTTACCCTAAAACAGTTGAGATTACCTGCATGTCCTAAATGCAACGTATACAAACTCATATACAGGTCCTAGACTATTACGGGAAATCAATACAAAAATATTGTCCGAAAAATTTTGCAGAAAATTAGACTCTCTAAACGCGTTATCTTCTAGGTTATGAAATAATACATTGACCAAAACGATTTTCAACAAGAGCAGAAAAGAGTTTTCCAACAAAAGCGTAAAGCAGAGAAAATATAGCAATTTTTAGTTTTATTGCAGTCAAATTAGATTACTAAAATTTGTATACGCGACAGAGGGAAAAATTTCAAACATGGATATTTTCCGTTCTAGGTCGAAAATTGAAAATTCCCCCGGAAAAGTTTTAGATTTTAATGTGCTGCATCATAATCTTTTGGTTTTAAATTTAAAAAGTTAAAATTGAATGTCACGGAAGCCCGAGAAGACGGCAATATTTCCTAGCTCGCCTTGGTGTAAATTTCTCGTTTCCTGCATTATGATTAGCTGACAGCGAAAATGTAAACAAATGCGCTGATTCGTCGAGCACGAAACTGCCCTTGTTGTTGCTCTATTTTGTTTTAGACTGCGCTAGCGCTGATTTGTAAAATAGAGTCTGGTACTCAGGCTATAGTGTTTACTGCATTTGGAAAGTCCCGAAAAGGATATATTAACGCTCAGAACCCTCGTGACACCATGCATATATTTTGCATGATTATATACCTTCTCTGAAAAACAGTCCAATACCAAAATCAGACAGCGCTATATTTCCATCCACATCAACAAGTATATTGGCCGGCTTCAAGTCTCTGTGCAAAATTCTATCGGGATTTTTAGCATGTAATGCTCTGAGCCCTTCCAACACTTGACGTATCATCACTCGAGCGCTAAATTCTGTTATTTTGTCGCCTTCTTCCCTGATATAATCTTCAAGATTTCGTTCATATAAATTCAGAATTAAATAACAGAAATCACGGTTGGAAGTATCATCGTAGAACCAATACTTGACAATTCGTGGCGACTCGGTTGCATTCCGAGAGTTCAAGATATCTCGTTCATTCTTCCCCAAATGATCACATAAGCGTTTTGGCAGACGTTTTATCGCTCGTTCTATCCCGTCAGATCCCAAACCAATGTAAACTTCAGTGCCATAACTGCCACCCCCAATGAGGAACTCTTTGTCAAAACATACGCGGTTGCCATTTATTATTGTTATCGACTGAGACTCATTGGCATTCTCCCAAATTTTTAAAAGCCGTTCAAACTTCGGTCTATATTTCACCGAGACTCTTTTCCATTCATTACTATTGGGTTTTAAGGCTGCGATCCTTTCACTTTCAGTAACCTCAGTACGCAGCTTCCTAGTGGCTTGGCCCATATCACCATTAATTATCTCGATCGTCTTCTCTGTTATTCATCATTTCATTGCTCCGCCGCCTTCTTTGTATACCTTTACTATAAAGAAGTATTTGGAGAGTTCTTGTAATCTGGCTTGTATAGTTGTAGGTTAGATATGGATAAGACATAAATATAATACCTGAATCGGCGACGTGTCTTGTTTTCCCGGAATGCGACCACCTATTGGCGTGTATAAATAAGAGGTGAGGCAAAGCGTTTTTATGATATTGTTATGCAAAGGCCAGCTACAATTAAAGCAAAGAGCCTATTGAGGTGCTATTCAAAACGCTCATAATGTATGCAAAGATAGAATTATATGTAATAACTGAAGCATCTTAATATACAGTAGATCACTGGATATATACTGATTCTGGCCAAAACGATACCTTCTTGCTTAGTTTAAAACGGTCGTCAGGTGGTGAAGAACTCTGTATTCAGGGCCATAACTAGTTGGGGTGGGGGGCATATTCATATGCTCGTGTTCTGCCCTACTGATTTCGTTTGAAAGCGATTGTTTTTACGGCATGTGAACATGAATATATTAATATGCACCCCCCCCCCAAAAAATTATCGCGTCTAGTTACGGCCCTGTCTGTATTATTGACGTCATGTGCGGGGAATGGGGGAATATCTCGGGGATCATATTCCCCCTTTTAAAGATAACCGAGATATTCCCCCCATTCCCCGATATCCCCCGTTCCCCCATTTAAAGATTGCCGTTATACAGTCATCAAAAACGGTGACAGAATAACTCTTTTGGAGTTGATCAAACTCCTTGAAATTTCAGTACAAGTGCTTGACGTCATATATTTTTGGCAGCTTGCTCATCGGCAGAAAGAAAGTTCATCCGTCCTAGCCAAGGTTTATAATATATGCCATGGAGTTATAATATATGGATTAGTGTTTATATGGGAATTTTTCATCCCGCCTAGGCCAGATGGAAGTAGGATTATATATAAACACTCAATAGAGTTTAGTTACGATCAACTGTCCCATCCTGCTATACGAAGACAAACTGGATCACCGTCACTTATTTAAATCACGAACTCAGAAATGCCGAAAACATCATTTACAAAACAGTAAAAGCACAGTAAAAAAGGATTGGCTGAAACAACCAAAAAAGGTTGCTCAGATAGGCAACCAATTAAATAATTTTGGTTATCCTGTTGTGAAAATCACAAAATAAGAAAAATTCTTTATTATATAAGAGTAGCAATTAAGAAAAAATCTCAAAAATAAATTAAATTAATTAGATTAATTAATTAAATCCACGAAAATAAAACTAGAAAGCAAACCAAAAGTCTAAAAAATCAAAGTGAGTTTCAAATTTTGTCTACCTTCAAATTGCATTCACGAACGTTATGTCGCCTTGAATGCAATTCGACTGGGCTTTGCATTCATCTAGAGTAGCAAGCGAAAACAAAACATAACTGATATACCCATAGGCACTATAGTCAGCCCAATTTTATGGTCGTAACGAAATTCTCGTTTGCCTGCGCGCGGCCGAGGCATAATATAGTTATACTATTTCCTAAGGTAGACAAATTCAATCAAACTACCGATACATATACCCAAGGGGGGCTTTGAAAAAATACAGAGAGACGAAAGAAGGGGGGCTTTGAAAATATTTACCAGTTTGAATAAAACGTACTATTTTTAAAAATGTGTCACAAAACAACTTAACAAATAATGTTTATAGACCTAATATTTATAAATGGAAGCCAAGTAGACTAATTTTAGAACTAGGCAAAGAGATGCAAATCAAGGCCGAATTTTGGTGAAAATAGTGGGGGAGGTGGAAAAAAATGTTAGGGGAGGTGCAGCAGTCTAGCTCACAACCCCCATGGAAAATGAGGGCTTATTGTAAACAGGCCAATATCAACGAGGTGAGGTATGCATGTAGTGTACATATGTACCAGTGTATTAATGAATTATGAATGTGTGACTCCAATCTTGCCCTTCATTGCAATTGCTACAAAGTTTCTTTCAAAACATTGCATTAACAGTGTACTTGACACAGATATGAATGGCTATAACTGTTTCAATTTTACAGAGAAAACTTTCTTATGTCACGAAGTGTAGATCCTAAGCAACCATCACATTTTCACTTTGTTCCATCATTGAAACTTTCCGAAGGGGAGGTGCATGACCTTTAAGGAGAAGTGCAAAAATTCTCAGGGTGCAAAACGATCTCAGGGGAGGTGCGCACCTCTCCACACCTCCCCTCAAAATCCGGCCTTGATGCAAATAAATCACCATTGCTAGAAAGAGCATACTAAAATAAGTAAATTATTTCAAAGTTTGGTTGCGAGATGTTGTAAAATACGGAAAATATAGCCTTGCAAAGTTTGCAAATTTTGTATACTTTTGTATTGCATGTGAAACTTGCAATACAAAAGTATACAAAATTTTTGCAACTCTGTATATTTTCTACATTTTACAACATTTCGCAACCAAACATTGCAATTTTATTAATTTTAGTATGCCCTTCCCGGGAATATACTTTTTTAGTCTATAATGGGAATTGTCTATTGGTCCCCATTATCTATTTGTGTTTCTCAAAATAAAGGGCTAGAGTTTTTGTTTCTCTAAATAAAGATAAAGAGCTAGGGGGGGTTGTTAAAATTTATGTTCTTGTTTTGCCTGTTGGGGGGGGGGCTTTGAAAATTTTACTTATCTTAAGAGGGGGGGGCAACGAAAAAATATTATAACTGTAGAGTTTCTCCTCAGTCTCCCCCTGTACAATAAATAATGAGCAGTCCCTTATAGTGCTAGGTAACGTTTTGAACAAATAATCTCAAGTTGTACGACGTCTACGACGTCAACGTTATGCCAGGACGTCAGGGTCGAGCAGAGGACTGGGACTAGGACCACAGCCTTCAGAAACGAACGAAGGCTGGGCATGCAGTCATTTTGTTTAAAATTCAAACAAGTTCATTATTCTTTCAAAAACAGTAAAACTAAAAGACAATGGTGAATATAAACTTTTGGTTTTGTAATTATATTTTACAACATAACGTCATTGTAACAAGAACACATATTTAGTAGTAATAGGCTAAAAAAACTTAGCGTATACTCGAGCGTATAAATGGAAATGTAGAGTGGTCCAATAATTACGAAATATAATGACAGCGATCACGGTAAGCGTTTAGCTTTCGCTGTCCGCCATTTTGAACGGCAAGGAACCTTTACGAGTAACTTACACCAAGTACTTCATATATTTTTGTGGATTTGCGGATGTTTTAAGGATTTTGAAGGATTTCTGTGGATTTTTGAAGGATTTCTGTGGATTTTAAAGGATTTTTTGGATTTTGATGGATTCAACGGATTTTGAAGATTTCATGGATTTTTTCTGGATTTTTTCCGGACTTTTTGACGAAGTGTACGGGATTTTTGGAGTGAAATGCCCCTCGCATATACCTTCGAACAATCCAAAATACTTCAAATATCTTTACAACTACGCTAAAATAATAACGGAAACTGAAAATCTACGATACTTTTATTATACTAACAATATTTTAACGTACAAAACAAATTTGTAATGCGAGAAATTGTCATTTGCATTATTGATAATAGACACTCATTAACAACTCCGTAGAGGCTAGAGGGCCTGTTTCTTTGTATTTTGTTCATGTAGGTCATCCCCTATTCCCCTTCACTTCAAACGTCACATCCAGTACGAGGTACAAGTAATAAGATCCTGCGAACATTGTTCTAGATGAGTATCATATTAGCAGGAGAAAGCTCTATAATGACATAAACCTAGTGAACATATAAACTCATGACATATTTAGTAAGTCAGTCAGTTTAATACCATCTGGAGAACCGCATCCTGATTCATCCTGATATAGCGTCGTCAAATTGTTTGACTGAAAGGATTGGGATCAGAACTGCGCGCAGACGTTGTCAGTGGGAATATCAAGACGTTAAAATTTGAGCACGTCTGAAGATTTTATTGATCAAACAGATTTTATTGAGATTCTTACAACTATCTCTCTCTTGGCTTGTAAGTACAGTACTTTAAGTTGATCTCGTGGATCTCGTGTGTCAAATAAGGTCACACATTACTGATTTATGTGAACACATTACTGATTTATGTGATTGCGCTCAAAGCGCACTCTATTTGCTGAGGTTTGCAAATATGGTGTATATATCGATCGCTATGACCCACAAGGCGTTATTTGTTTCGTAAAACGTTTTGATTACGAATGTTCTTTGTTCAGTGGTTAATTGAACCATGTTTAATTGATGCAATAATGACGTTCTTATTGTCTCACTAAGACGAATATTGACGAATCGAGCTCATTTTAGATAATTTAATTCCCTCTTGGGAATTGTCTATGTTTCGTTTTCCATGCAATTCCGAACGGTGAAAGCCGGAATGTGATTTCGACCAGCATTTATATTTGACGAGTATGTGGCCATTTCTCATCGTTACGATTTAAAAAGAGTATCATTGAATAGCTAAATAACTTTCGTCCAATGTAAAAATTGGATTGTTTAGCTAAGTTTATGATGCACGATCGTGTGCTGAATTTCCATAGCGTTTTTTTTAGACATCCTGTCAGTATAGAAGGGATGAAACACCGGTCACGTGATTTTTTAAAATGCTTCTAATTTAACCGTTTCGACATAATTTGATTATTTTACAACGTATTTAGCATTCTCTTAGCTAGACGATATTACAAATTCTCCCCCTGTCCCTGAGATTTATTCCTTTGCTGGTTCTCGAATATAATGGGACTGTATGCTTTCGCGGTTTTCACAAATTTTATTCTTTTCTCATTCGTTACATATGACTGATCACTGCTATCGTTATACAAACACTCTACAGTTTCTCACACAAACTTTCGCACTCTTTCTGTCTTTCATAATCTTTCACAACACATTTCAACACATTCCCTTTCTTCGACAATCTAACTCGTATTTGTATAGTCTCTTACTTTTCGTTGATGCTGTGGGAACTTTTTACTCCCAGAGGAAATTCAATGCACACCTTCCTCGCTTGGTTGACCACAAATCTACCCACAACCTTCCCTTACGTACGTACATTCCGTCTTATTTACTAAAATGCTAAGAGTTCCTGTTTTTGTTTAACGTTCGTATTTCCTGAACGAGGTTGAATATCTCGGTCGTCATGGTCCTATTCGTTTGAAATCTGTTAGGATTTATTGTACTTTTACTATTTTGACCATTTGAACTTTAAATTCAAATTTTGTCTCGCATTGCCTTCCATAGCAACAACTTTATGGCGTCGTAACT